GACTTCAGTTTTCTTGGATAGAGAATGGAAATAAAGTCCCTGGACTTCACAATAAACATCAGTTTTTATTAAAAATATACCTGTTGATTGTTTTAAAGTACTTTTTTAAAAATGTAGATTAAAGAGCAATGTAAGATATTTCATTATTACAGCAAATATAAATACAATTTTGTTGGTAATATAGATACAGAGCCACGTCTGCTCTGTCACTTATCAATTAAAAGAGCTTTACCCTGTGAACAACAGAACACCACGCTAGCAGTGGTGTGAACTAACAGGAACTTTTAGTCTCACAAAGCAGGAAGCTGGAGGGGACAGCTACAGCATCGGTTTAGCACTCAACCATGTTAAGGCCAGAATATCAGCCAGCCACCCGCCTGCCCTTCATAATCACCAGATAGTTATAAGACCACATCCAAGACGCGTAGCCAGGAAATGTGCAGTGTTCGTGCATGTGCCTCTTTCAGAAGGAATGCAAAAGCTTGCCTGGAAACTCTGAGCCTCACCCTCTGCAAATCTCAGCTTACCTCCCATTAACCAGAATTGTGTCCCTTGGGTATCCCAAGCCTCAAGACAGTCTGAGAAAGCAAGCAACCCCTGTCATGGAAAACAGAAAAAGAAAAGGGTTTGCAAGTGACTCTAGGGTCAGATGACCAGAAGTGCATCCAAAGAACAGCTTCCTTTGTCTGGGGTTGGGAGTGGGTCTCACTGCTCTAAGGGGAACCCTGTCCTCTCATTCCAGGAGAATGGTGGAGAAGAGCCTGGAAGAGTGAGTATCTAAAGATTGGCTCCACCACAGAACTGTCACCGGCAGCTGTGTGTGGCTTTGAGGCAGCTATAATTTATTCCCTGGGATCTCAATTTCCTTATCCCTATTTTAGGAATAATTGTACCTACTTTATAAAATACATGATAAAAAAATGAAAGGATCAATGCTAAAGTTAATTGATAAAGGGTTAACTCTTATTACCATGCTAATTATTTTTAACAATACAGAAACAAGTGTTAAGGTCACAGCACTGGATACCATAAGAAGCTGATAGATCATCTGTTTCCACAAAGCAAGTTGGAGAATTTCTGACACCCTAGATGGAGTTCTCAGGGGCTCCTAAGACTTCTTTCCTTTTGAAACATCACATAATTCCCTACCACTCTGGAAGATACTTGGTTTCCTCTGAGTGAACCATAAAGCTACCTGCATCCAACAGCCAAATTACTGAATTCCTTTTGAAGAAAATTGTTTATATAAAAGCAAGCAATCTTCTCTAAAACTAAACTACCTATCAGGGTTACGATAACAAAGAAAGTATAATACTTCTGTGCTCATAAAGCCACTTTATCTTCAACAAAAGGTGCAAAAAACAGAGGTATCCAAAACTTTATCTTAATTCATTTGAAATTATGAGAGGCCTTTGTGTTTTTGGAAGTAACATGGTATTTCTTACAGGAAAGTTAACCATTCTCTGATGCATCTTCTTAAAGTATATCATGCCCTCGACGTAAATAAGCCACAAAAATAGAATTTTTATTCCTTGAAAAAGGAAAAGCCCTGGTTAAAATTTGGTTGTTTTAGATTTTTACCTTGTGGACTGACTTGACACATTGTAACCAGCACACAGAAGCAGTGTAAACACATGGGATGATTATATTTTATGAGAAAAGTTAGTATATCTACTCCCTTAACAATGTGATTCAGAACTTTTTAATTGTAGGATTTCCAGGATCTGTGACAATGGATAAATAATTTTATATAAATCCTAAATTTACATACATAGTATTATAAAGATACAATCATTTTAAATAGCACATATTTTGCAAATTTTATAAATCCCTTTCTAGGACTCATCTCTGCTTCTACAATCAACTCAGAATGTGACTGTAAATGCACGCAACTCGGAAGGGGAGGTCACAGGCAGGTTAAAAGTGGGTGAGTCCAGCTTTATCATGGTGTTTTGCCTGCATGTGGTCCATGAATAGTGCTAAATGGATGCATTGTTTTTTCTTCTAAAGAAATCAAAGCTACTTATGAACAAAGTACGAATTTTCTAAATATCATGCTGTGTTGACCACAGAGAATAGCACCACAGGGTGGGGTGGGGGGTGCGTGACAGTCTGAAGTGCTCTGATTAGAGTTATTTTTGTTCAAAGAAATAGAATGTTTATTGTAGGTTACCAAAGAATCTTGCAACAACCAAACGAAAGGAATCAAAGTAGCTGGCCTCAAAGAGCACAGAGACCAGTGACTGAGAGCCAAGAGTAGATTCAAGTCCCTCCTTGTTCTTTGTTTTCTCTCTCCTCCCCATGTGCTCCATTCTCCTCCTTTCCAGTGTATCTTTGCCACCATTTTCACTTGGCTGTATCACTTCTCACTATATAGAACCTACAGGGCCTCCGTGATTCTTATCTGCTTAGCTGTAGTTATCAACATCAAATAGTTTAGTCTTCAATTATGCAAATTCTAAATCCACAGAGTACTCTCTCTTAGCCCAACGCATCTGTCCCATCACATTCCATTGGGTCAGTCAGCTATGTACACCCATCCTATCAACTAAGGTTGGAGAATAAGGTCACATGGGAGTGAGGTCACATGGAATCCAGCAAAGGGAGAAAATGATCAGCAGGGGGAGGATCCAAGATGGCCGTTTACGAACAGCTCAGGATGGCAGCTCCCAGTGAAAGCACAGAGGGCGAGTGGACGCTGCATTTTTATTGCCCAAAGACTAGGCAATTCCCAGGCGGAGGAACTCCACAGGTCACCAGTGTGGCTGTTTTCGCACCGCTGCTTTGTCCCGCGCGGCTGCTTTGTTGGCGCCCCGAGCAGCGGTTCTCCGTACAAAATACACCGGACCGGGTGCCCTTTTGGCTGGCGATTGGAGCCACGGGAAGTCGCCCATTCGTCTGTTTAAAAAGGGGACTGAGCAGGGAACCAGGACAGTAGATTCCAGGGAAAAAAAAAGAAAAGCGCCACAAATCTCAGTGCCGCTGTTTAAGCCAGCGCAGTGAGTGGC